AAAAAAAAAAAAAAAAGAACCACTGCTTGCAATTAACAATTTTTAATCATTTCAAGTCTCTATAATGCTTTTTGAAGAAGTCTCACCCTATACATCCCAAAACTCAATTCTGAGAAACTCTAGGTTACAGAGTGACTCAGAAACCTGCTTCTCATGACACTTCTAATGTTACTTCCTACAATAAGCCTCCCTGGACTCTTCCACTTCTACCAATAATAGGTTTGATAATTTTTGCCTCTCTTTTGCAATATTTCCTATTGTTACACTTATTATTAAAATATGGCTACACCAGTGGTTCTCAAGTTTTAGTGTGCATCAGAATCACCTGAAAAGCTTATGAAAACATAGATTTCTGGGCCTCATCCCAGAGTTTCTGATTCCACAGGGCACAAGAATTTGCATTTTTATCAAGTTGCCAGGTGATGCTTTATGCTGCTGGTCCAGGGACCACACTTTGAGAACCTTGATCTAGATGTTTGCTGCCCTGCATGTTTGTGAAATCCATGAGAGTTTAATTTTCATTTCCCCAGATCCCAGGACAATGGCACAGGAAGCCTCCAATAAATAATTAGTGAATCATTATTTTAACTCATTCTTTCATAGTCATCTAGAAATACTTTGTATATACCATATTATGCCCCTAAAAAATCTAAATCAGATGCAACTTATACTAAAGAATAGACTTATTAAAAAGGTAATTCCATCATTTATACCTTAGTATTTGTGATGTGAAATTAAACAAAATAGGAAAGAGAACATTGGCAAGTTAGTTTCTGGAGAATACAATAGATATTAAAATCCACTTGTCTTTATATATGGACTTTTTTTTTTTTTTTTTTTCGGCACAAAATAGGAAAGAGAACATTGGCAAGTTAGTTTCTGGAGAATACAATAGATATTAAAATCCACTTGTCTTTATATATGGACTTTTTTTTTTTTTTTTGCGGTACGCGAGCCTCTCACTGCCGTGGCCTCTCCCGTTGCGGAGCACGGGCTCCGGACGCGCAGGCTCAGCCGCTCCGCGACATGTGGGATCCTCCCGGACCGGGGCACGAAGGGGCATGAACCCGCGTCCCCTGCATCGGCAGGCAGACTCTCAACCACTGCGCCACCAGGGAAGCCCCTACATATGGACTTTTTAAGTGGTAACTAGAAAGCTAGTTTGACTGCTCTTATTACAGAAACTTGAATGAGACATTCATGTAATATGATCCATTCTGCTGCAGCATCACACCCCTTAACTCCCTAAGGACCCAGCCCAGGAAGAAAGTAGACTCAAGGAAATGCTGAGAATGGGCACAGGAGATCAACTCTTGGACACAAGTGCCCTTCTATTTGCTACCCACATGGTTGGAGAGCACATCCATATATTATTTCATTTCTTCCATTGTTTTTCAAACTTATTGAACAGAAATTGACACCCTCTACCTTTGGTCCCTTGTTATTTATTTTGTCATTTTAGATTTTAAAATTTAGTGACACTTCCCAACCCTGACTTCATGGTTTCTGCATGGAGTAGTGGAAAGATTATAGACCAGAAATTAGAAGATTTCGGTCCATGTCCCAGCTCTTCGCTTATTAGTTGAGTGTGCCTTGATGAGACATTTAACTTTGCTGCATTTCAGAGTTCTCATCTATAAAAGGAGGGTGGCAGGGGGAGTGCGTGAGGAAGTGGAGTGGAGGGGGTGACTCAGTTTACCGACTTCACAGAGCAGTCTTAAATATTATAATGGGCACTATTAGAAAGCATCCTATAATATTTGTGAAATGTAGTTATTCATCGCTGACTGACAGTGGTAGCACTGTTTTAGGCACTAAAGAGACATAAAACTACTGAAGAAACATCAAATGTGTTCTCTTCCCTCAAGAAGCTATAATTTAGCAGAAGAGACAAAAACCAGCCAACCAGACTTCTAGAGTAAGGCCACCAAATCCTCTTCCCTTAAAATTTTGCCTCTGAAAATGGACCAAAGACTTAGAACAAACTGAGCAGCAGTTGTTCATGAAAAAGTACTGAACTTTTGGTATGAACAGTGGGAATCTGTGGCATTCTTGCCTAGGGCAACTCCCATTGCCCTCTCCTGCCACTGCAGTTCTAGAAGGGAAGGGCAGGCCATAGGTAACCAGCAGCTTCACTGTCAGTAGAGGCCGACTTGATTTGGAGCAGAAGACAAAAAAAAAACCTTGGTCAGTGGCATTACTAGTAATAAGCAGCAATCTCAGAGCAAACTGACAGGGAAGGTCAGAGGTTCTGCTAGCCTGAGACTGTAGTTCTAATTAGGGCAAGCAACAGGTCAATGGACTAGCCAGAAATTTAACAGGGAGATACAGGCAATAGGGCAGTCATAGACACATTCAATAAGCTTTCTGCACATCTCCAGCTAACTGGAAGCAGCATGGATTGGAGTTGGCCCAACTTATTCACACATCCCTGGCCTATTGCAAGCTTGCACCTGTGTACAAAGGAAACATTAGATCCTGGTGGAAACTAAAAGTTGGAACAGACTTGAAAACTGCCTGAACTTTGAATGTACTCCTGAACCCACTATAGTGTGCTGAATACTGCCCTCCAAAAATTCACGACCACCCAGAACTTCAGAATGTGACCTTATTTTGAAATAGGATCTTTGTAGATATAATCAGGGAAGGATCAAGATGAGATTACCCAGGATTTGTTTTGTCCTAAATCCAATAACTGATATCCTTATAGGAAGAGAAGAGGATACACACACAGATACACAGAGAAGAATAACATGGGAGGATAAGCACAGGTTGAAGTGATGGATCTACATGCCATGAAACACCAAGCATTGCTGGGAATCACCAGAAGTTGGAAGAGGCAAGGAAAGATTCTCCCCTTCAGCTTTCAGAGGGAGCATGGCCCTGCTAAGACCTTAATTTTAGACTTCTGGCCTCCAGCACGTAAGACAATAAATTTCTGTTGTTTTAAGCCACCAAATTTGGGGACATTTGTTATGTCAGTCCCAGGAAACTAATAAACCTACACACAGATTCACTGGCAGAAGATGGAGGCTATACTGGCTCAAAGTGCTTGAACACGACCTCTGACAAATCACTGAATGTTCACTAAACTATGAAAACACAGAGACAACCCTAAGAAATTAGCCTAAAAAGTAAAAACAGAACAAAAAAAAATCTGAGCAGAGACACCAGTGGCTATATACAAAGGAGAGGGGACATGAATTTCACAGCTTTGCTCTAGATAAGCTACTAAACAAACAAACAAATAAAAAACCCAAGAATAACCTTCCAGAGGGAAAGTGGGAATTCAGAATCCATAGTTGCTCTAATAGATGATCTAAATTGTCCAGTTTTCAACAAAAATATCAAAAGACACAAAGAAACTGAAAAGGGTATGACCCATTCTCAGAAAGCAAAAGCCATCACACCCACTCCTAGGAAGCTGCTCAAGAGAAATGACAACTGATGTCTACACACACAAAAATTTGTCTTTGTATATTCATTACAGCATGACTTATAATAGTCCCAAACTGGAAACAATACAAATATCCATCAACTTGTGTAGATGAATAAAATGTGGTATATCCATGTAACAGAATGTATTCTCAGCTATAAGAGAGCAACTATTGACAGATGCTACAAATGGATGATTCTTAAAAACACTATGCAAAGTGAAAGAAGCAAGACACAAAATACTACCTATTGTATGATTTCATTTACAAGAAATGTCCATAGAAGGCAAATCTGTAGAGCCTGAAAGCAGATCCATGGTGTCCTAGGGCTGGCTATGAGAGTGAAGATTAATTGCCAAAGAGTGAGCACAAAGGAACTTTTTGAAGTGATGGAGATGTTCTAAAACTGTGATAATGGCTGTACAACCTTATAAAATTCCTAAAAATCAGTGAATTGTACACTTACAGTGGATGAATTTTATGGATTGTAAGTTACACCTATGTTTAACAACTAAAAAAGTCAATATACGATAAAGAGTAATAGAAAAAAGAAAAAAACAGTTAATGTAAGTCAAGGTACAATGAAATGCTTTGGTTTTAGGTATTAAGAGCCATTGTCATCAAAAGAAAGGGATAAAATGGAATAAAAGTCAGTTGGGAAAGCTTCACCGTCTTCATCTGAATCTTAAAAGATGGATACGGTTTGAACTTAAAATATGATTTTGAATTTAAAATCCTTTGCCCTATTGCAGACAAAGGAAAGAGCACAGGAAAAGACAAGATAACAATGTGGGGCGGGGCGGGGGGGTGGGGAGGCAGGAGACAAGGGGCTGGTGAAGCAGCCACTGTTTTTGTGAAGAAGTTATGAGGAATGCACAAATAGGTACAACAGGATCAGGCTATGGAAATACAAGAAAATGGGGCAGAAAAGGAATTATAAGAGAGCCAGAAAAAAGTTACTTTGTTCTTTGTATCCACATGGACCCTGGAGGCCAACGTCTGCCTTGTTTGATAGGATGAATGATAAATAAAACTGCCTGTGAAGAACTGTACTCTTTACAAGTAGCAGAAATATTCCATGACTTCATAGGTGTACATAATAAACAATCGATCTGTGGCCTGATGTCTAAAATCAAACTGCAACATATCATGAATCACTATGATAATAAAAGATGCACTTGCCATCTTCCCAAATAATTAATTGTATTGTTATTCTCATCCAAAAGCAAGAGAAATTAATGAATGCTACATTTTTAAGGAGTTTACTGCTCCAAGCCTAACTTTCAAGGTCCTTTTTTTAAAACAGAAGTCTTCTAAAAACCTATTCACATTCATTTCACTGAATCATGCACAGCTTTGATTTGTAAAAAGGGCAGATTATTTTCAGTCCAGCTAAACTGCTAAGATTGCTGAACCACAAGTCAACTCTGAGTCACCCAACTTTTCAATTTTGAACGATTACTTTCATGGCAATCAAGGGCAAGCTGAGACAAAACTATTGTGTGGACAGGATTCAATTACTTCAGTCCCCATTCCAACCTATTATTCAAGACTGCCCAATGACATAACAAAAAGTGAGTTCTGGGATCAATATGCACGCAAAATAACACGTAGCCAAGTAACATTCTCCCGTAAACTTTGGTTTTGCAATCTTATCACAGAGTGTACATCATCTCCCAGAAAATCATTCAGCTAAGCCTTGTTCTTTTTTCATCTGTATGTGCCACATTTCCCAGCAGTCAAGTAGCCATTTTATATGAACTCTATTGATTAAAGCATGATCTAAGACCCAGGAAAAGTTTCATTATGTTAACTCCAATTTGAGACTGTAGCTAATTTCAGCAATTCATGAAAATTAATAGTTGAAAGTGATACTTTTAAAAAATAAGTGTATCTAATCACTATTATTAGGGGTTTCAGAGCCCTCATATTATGGAAATATAGGAAACCCTTTGCTACTGAGAGTAGCTAACTGGGGCTGAATAGTACTAAACAAGGATCTTGCACCTAGTCAGGGGGCTAGGATCTGCTCCCAACCCTGCTCAGAACTGGACAGGTGACCTTGGGGAGCCACTGCACCTCTGGATGCCTCTCATTTTCCTCATCTACATAATGGAAGGAATGAACTCTCAGATGCTATGACAAAATGAAACAAAGTAAATTACGTTTCAGCTAAGTACGTAAAATGGGAAAAAGTAGTTTCTGGCATTATATTTTGAAAAGAAATTTTATAGATTTTTATAAAGAAAAATGTTTTTTCATTACAATATATATAATTCATTATATAATTCATTATAATATATAATATTTTACTTTAAGTCAAAACCAACATTCAAGTGTTTATCCTTTCTTATGTCGGTAAGTTTTCAATATTTTATCCCTAAATATGTATAGTTCTCTTTAAGCAGTTGAATTTTTTTAAATCAATAGTCACTGTTTTTGATTGATGAAGGAAATCAGAAAAGCCAAAAGTAACAAGTCCATGTTTGCCCCCAACTCCTCCCTTTAATCCCTAAGTCTATATCTAGATTACCCAAATATAAATATTTCTTTTAATCAGTAAAAACATTATTACTTTCTAAGCAGAGTGTCTTAAGCAAGGAAATAACAAACATAATCCTTTAACAACTCTTCCTTTTAATTGCTGTGCCACAGAACTAAATATTGACCAAAAAAACCACTTTGGTACAATATGTGAAATCCTATATTGGATACAAAAGTTATCTTATGCTAACAAACATGGATTTTTGATAAAAGGGAAATGAAAATATAATAAAAGCATGTAGCCAAATTTTGTTCTGCATTATTTAGGTGTGATTCACCCTGAGGTTTATTGGACTTGTGATTTTATCTCAGCATGGTTCTAAAGAACAAATTGCCAATCTGGTATTTTTCTCTTAGAATAATGTATGATGTGATTCACTATGGCAAGACAAACAGTTAACTTGTAAATTGGGGGACAGTTTATTCGTACAACATTTTAATGATCATATATCTCTATTTCAAGATTAATCTGTTACTGGGTTAAATCACTCCAAATTCTTTATTCCACAATCTGCAAGAGTAATTGCTGCTTCAGTTTCAATCATGGAGCAGTAAATCTGGATTTACTTTTAGGCAGCTGGTTTATAAGTCCCTGGATATACATAATTTCATAGAGTGATTAAAGTCATTTTGATATTATACCAACAATAGCTTATCTAGAGCATCAACTGCAAGCAATTAAAACATTCACATTTTATGTGTACCTTTTTCAAGCAGTTTGCCTGCGTAGACACACAGGTTTTCCCCACCACAGTGCTGCTGATAAACTTTTATTTCATCCCGGAAATCTGAGTGATCATAAGCTAGGTGCACATTTTTCCCCAAGTAGATCATTGTAATAGCTGCATTACTATGCAGTGGTGTTTTGTGAATCCTTCTTGAATCCTAGAATAAACAAAAAAAGGGGCTTATTAACTAATCACCTTCTAATCAGAGTGTGATCACCTTCTAATCAGAGTGTTATACAAAGAATAGAAAAGGCTATTTTTATGTACCTTGCAACAAAACCCTTATAAAATGTCAATCTATATACAGTGCACAAAAAGTCAAGCCCATTACAAAACAAATGCCTTTAACAATTATAGCATATATACATTTTGGCTTTGTATTTTTAATGTAAATTCTGGGGATTTGGACAAAGTTTGTCACCTTTTGTCTTACGTGTGTGTCTGTGTTTTACATGCAATAAAAATATCAGTGACGGGAAGAGGAAACTACTCTTGGTTCTTTTTGCTAGTTCTCAAATAAAAATTCAAATCAAATTAATTAAATAAATATTGGTGACATAATTTTGTTCTAATTCAAATTGACATTAAGTGTAATTTAGCAATTGTTTTTGTAATTGAGTGTTATCTTTATACTTGAGCACCGACAGTACATCCTTCCCTGAGCTTATTCTTTGTGAGAGGGTGATGCACACATTTGATTCCTTCTATGGTCACTCTCAGGATCAGGAACAATGTATGCTGGGTACCTGGGGTTATCCAGTTTCACAGGAGGCATTCAGTTCAATGAAAAGCCAACACTATTAATATTATTCTTAATATCAAACAATAAACCCAACAAAAAATATCACCTCATAAACCTACTTGATACTCTATGGCATTGACCAATTTAAATTACTTATAAAATAAACACTAAACTTAAATACCAGAGATTAAATATCCAATGCCTTGCCTCCTAGTTTATATTCTGAAGTATTTTCACAGTAGTGAATAAGTATAGTGTTTGCCTAACCTCTAAGAGGAAGACCTGGAAAGAGAAGCAAGAAAAGGAAGAGGAAGAAGAGGCAGAGAAATAGAAATGGATCCTTGAGAGACTTTAAGAGGTCCTAGTAAGAATATCGTAGGTTTCTAGAACTATACAGATACCAGGCATTACTTTTAATCGACTTCACTTTTCTAAAAATCAATTTTTAGCTAAATGAAAAATGAGAAGAGACCAACTTTCAGTGAATCCAAGGCAATTATTTGAGTTTGATCTCACTGAATTACAGATGCCTTGGAAGCATGCATTTTTTTTAAGAATGACAAAGCTGCAAAAAAATTCCTGAAGGAACTACTAAAATACTTCCATCTCCAAAGCCATTCCCTTCTACCTCAGAGGATTTTTTTTTTCTCATTCACTCTTATTTCTTTGAAGCAAAAACCAGAAGTAGTAAATTTGATGAAATTCAGCAAATGACAGTCTGAAAAGTGTAAATGGGCAGGAAAGTCTGAGATTTAAAATTTGAGCAAATTGTCTTGCCTGTGGACAGAGCTCCCAAATAGATAATCAAGAGAAATATTTCAGGGACACCAGGAGCCATGAACGTAAATCAGCAAACTGGATAATTCTTTGCAGATTAGAAACGTCTCCTTGAGTCACAGTTGAAAGCAAAGGGATGATGGCAGGCCTGGCTCTTGGTTACAAAGTCATCTCATGTTTCCTCTTGCCTGAGCAACTGTGGAACCCAACCCACAATCACCAGCCTAAGGCAAATTCAGCTCCAAGCTCCCTGGAGAGAACATTTATCATGTGCACACTAACCAACTGAGAGCCCATATCCACCCTCACCCTGCCTCTAACACTCTGGGCCAATATTCCCCTGCCCCAGTACCAGGTACCAGACAACTCAGGAGAGCCCAACACCAGAGCCTGCCAAAATCATTCATACTATCCCATCCTATGCCTGCTTACCCTGCATTGCCCAATTCTTCCTCAGAAACCACAACAGAGGCTCTTTCCCACCTTTTCCTCCCACGCCTCTCCTGTCAGCCCTGGTGCTTCCCTGGGTGGCCCTGCGTGGCCTGGTGTGATGGTTAATTTTATTTATCAACTTGGCTGAGCCACAGTGCCCAGATATGTGTCAAACAATATTCTAGATGGAATTCTGACTAAAATAAACAGGAATGTCCCTTCCTCTTGAGAACTGTAAGGGACAAACTGTCTCTTTAAAGGCAAGTGTCGTCTGATCTATAGGTCTCAACACACCCGAATAATCATAAAACTGACATTTTAAAAGTCAGGCAGAAGAATTACTCGTTTTCATTAGGAAAGGGGAAGCTAGTGAAAGGTTTTAAGCAGGGGAGAAACATGTTGGGAGCTATTCTACAAAGTTTAATTTAACATCATTATGTAGAATCTACTACTACTGAGATGGACTCTGCTTACTCTCTTCTCCCCCTCCTGCCTTTAACCCTCTGCTTCCTGATTCAATCTGCTAACTTCCTACTCACCTTTCAGACATCTGTAATTGCACAGGGCTTCTCTGGAGTCTAGGAAGTAGATAGGGGGCCTCAACCAGATATGGAGAAAGCCCCAGACTAGTTCGTGCCTGGAGAAGTTCTTTGCTTTCTCTATCATAAAACATATAAACACTTAAAACAAACTGTTTTATTTTTTTAATTGATAAGCATAATAATTAAGTAGGTTCTTATTTGAAAGCCTGTATTTTCACATATATAAACACTATTTATAGTACCATCCACATTTTCAGTAGGCTGCTGTGTGGAGTAGGTGACAAGCAGTCCTGAGTGGAAACACAGAATTTCTGCAGATGGATGAGGTAAACCTCAGAGCAAAATCTAACCAGCCACATAGATTCTTTAAAAGCATTAAAAAAAACTCTGCAGGTATTATATCTCCAAATTATAAAGCAACAGGGCACAGAAGCAATGTGCTGGGCTGTAAGATCTACACCCTGTCATTTGGTTTCCTAGACTCCAGATAAGCCCTGTGTAATTACATATGCTTGAAAGGTGAGTAGAAAGTTCATGGATCATGGCCTAGAGACACAGACCACAGAAGCCAGGGACCCTGTTCTATACATTCACAGAGGAACAGGTGGCCACCAGCAAGCCACATTTCTTTACCTCTTTCATTTACCTCTTTCCTACCTTTTAAGAACATTTGAAGGATGCTTTGGGATGGTAGTCATGAAATGAAAGAATGAATTTAATGTGTAAATTAATCATGAGAGCCATCTCTCCTTAAATGAATCTTTTCGAGATCAGGATCAAATAAAGGTAAATACTAAAGTAAAAGTGCACAACTGGCATGAATGAGATGCTCAATGTCATTGGTCATTAGAGAAATACAAATTTGAAACACAGTTAAGATACCACTTACCCACTAGGACAGCTAGAATCAAAAGACAGTAACAAGTATTGCTGAGGATGTGGAGAAATTTGAACCCTCATACACTGTTGATGAAAATGTAAAATGGTGTAATCACTTGGGAAAACAGTTTGGCAGTTCATCAGAAAGTAAAACGTAGAGTGACTATATGATCCAGCAATTCCACTCCTAGGTATACATCCAAAGAAATGAAAACATATGTCTATGCAAAAACTTGCAGGCAAATGCTCATAGCAGCACTATTCATAGCCAAAAAGTGGAAACAACCCAAATGCCCATCAACTGACAATGAGATAAACAAAATGTGGTACAACCATATGGTGGAATATTATTCAGCCACAAACAGAAAGTACTGATACAACCTGCAACATAGATGAACTTTCGAAACATTATGCTGAGTAAAAGAAGCCTGACACAAAAGAATATTTATTGCATGATTCCATTAATATGAAATATCCATAAGCAAATCAACAGAGACAGAAAGTACATTAGTAGTTGCTAAGGGGTAGGGAAA